TATCAGATGTAGACTTTCGTTTCTTCTTTCCTTTCTGTGGGTTGGTGTTTTTTGGTGGTGGTGGGGGGGTCAGGCGTCTCTTCACAGTTATCTATTTGTGAACTTGCCAACGGCATGCCACCATGGAAATGCATGGGTTTTTCTAGTGTGTGGAAGTCAGGAATGCCGCATGTCTAGGGACTGGGATGAAACGACTCTGAAGTTTTCTTGTATCCCTTGAATTGTTTTAGACAATAATCAGCATTTACATGTAAAGATGTATCAGAAACTTCAAAGTGTTCAAGAGTCATACTAAAATAGTTGGCACACTTTTTTCCCTACAAGCACTTACTCCCATATGGTGTCACTTATTCCTGTCCTTCTAGATTGCTTCAAGACAAGCTTTGGCTGAAAGGCGTAAGCGTGGTGATGGAGGTAGATTTCTGTCAAGTGAAGAACAGCTGGTAACTTTCTGACCATGTTGCCTATTTTGAATGCTTAGCATTGTTGCTACAACATTGGTTACATGCTTTATTGATCCATTAAACAAAGTGAATATCACAAACTCTATGCCTAATGATATTCACGCAAGGAAATAATGATAACCAAACGTGTTGTATATTGTTTTGTGGCAAGAAAATATGTACTGTTACCTGATTACCTCATTTGCATACCAGTTAATTTCTACCGAAAGTGGTGTTATCTTCATGGCCTTTTGCATGCTTTTACCAGTCTCGGGTTTTTTTTTGGTTGTGCTTTTACTCTTGTGTGTAAAAAGTATGTATCTTGTAACTCTTCTTGTTGGGCCTTTGCTTAATTTACTAAATCTGAATTCTTGAGGGTTACTTCTGACTGGTTATGCTACTGTGGCTGTAGGCTCACATATTTCTAATCTATTAACTTAACCTGCCAGGTCTTGGTTATTGTTTTATCTGATGAATTGGTCGAAATTCTCTTAATTGGTAGGCACTAGCTTGCTTCCCTTTTATTTGTTATGGTTTCCACTTTCACTGCAAATGAACAGTTTTCATATGACAATTATCTTGTTATTCTTATGTTCTTGTACTCTTGTGCTCAGCAGCCTTCACAGCTGCCTTCAGAAAGGCGTTCCAAACGTCTTGAGAAGCAAAATCTCAAAATGGAGAAGGTAAGATCCAGTAGAGATCTATAGACTTATTTTATTTGAGGAAGAAGTGGCGATGTATCCTAACTCCAACCTACCCACTTGGTTGCTTTAAGGAATCACATGCATTGATCTATCACCACCTCATCCCTCAAAAGCACATGCTTAGTGTAGTTGAAGGTGATCCTACAAAAATTCATGGGATGTTCCCATGGTGGACTATCCCATCAAGGATGGGTTAATTCCTTAAACCAAGCATCCCATTAGTTGTGTAACTTTCTTTTTAGAGAGAATCTACAGGTGCTGCATAGGAGATGCCTCTTAAGTTTGCAGTGTCTAAATTTTGTTTAGTAACAGAAAAGTCTAGAACAATAATTTTTTAAGTAATACAACCTATGAACAGCTGCAATTGCATTTGTTATATTCAATTAAACACTCAGGATTTCCCCTTGTCCAGGCGGAGAGCAAAGAAGACGAAACAATGGAAGCAGAACCAGATCCAGAAATTGAAGTAGTCCCTGGACCTGGGGGAGAACCAAAGGTTGGGATGGTTTTTCTGAATGAGGATAAGGCTTATGAATTCTATGTCAACTATGCTAGAACTGCAGGGTTCAGTGTCCGAAAAGGCTGGTTGGACAAAACAGCAAAGAATGTTACAAAATCTCGAGCATATGTTTGTTCCAAGGAGGGATTTCGTCCAAAAAGTGCTTCTATCGAATCAAAGAAACCAAGACCAGAAACAAGAACTGGTTGCCAGGCACACATGACCATTAAGATTACAGCAAGTGCAAAATATGTAGTGACTGAGTTTGTGGCTGATCATAATCATGATCTTGAAACTCCCTTGGTTGACATTCAGATTTTGAAGTCACAAAAGTTATTAGCAAAGGTACAACAGCCTCCTGATCCACCAAAAGTTGTTTTGATACCAAATGAGTATAAAAATTACACAAGGACAAAACGTACAAAAAATATGCAATTAGGTGATACCCAGGCCATCTGTGAATATTTACATAGGATGAAAGGCGAGAATCCTTCTTTCTTTTACGCCATTCAAGTAGATGAAGATGATCAGTTTGCAAACGTGTTCTGGGCTGATGCTAAATCAATAATGGATTATAACTACTTTGGTGATGTAGTGTGTATTGACACAAGATATTGCACAAGTGACTATGGGAGACCTCTGCTGTTATTTACTGGTGTTAATCATCATAAGCAGCTGATAATATTTGGTTCAGCGCTGATTTATGATGACTCAGTCCAATCCTTTAGATGGTTGTTTGAGACCTTCAAATCTGCTATGAGTGGAAAGCAACCAAAAACAGTTTTGACTGATCAGTCTGCTGCACTTAGTGATGCAGTTTCTTCTTCTTGGCCTGGGACCACCCACCGCTTCTCACTACTGCATCTGTATCTGAATGCTACTGAGTTATTCAGGGATACCTTCCAAAGCTCAGAGACTTTTGCATCAGATTTTAGTAGGTGGCTGTATGAATGTGAGGAGGATGACTTCTATTCGAGTTGGGAAATCCTTTCAGAGAAATACAATATAAAGGATAATGAATGGCTCTGTAAATTGTATGAGGATAGAGAAAGGTGGGCTTTGCCATATGGGCATGATATGTTCTGTGCTGATATTGCAACCACACTAAGAAGTGATAACACGGATACCATCCTGACAGATCTTCTTAAACCACAAATAGATCTTCAAAACTTCTTCAACAATTATGATAAGTTTTTGGAGGAGAAACGCCTAGCTGAACAACAAGCCGACTACCTTGGGGCTCAAATAGCACAAAGAGTAGCACCACTGCATCTGCTTTGGCAAGCTGCCAATTCATATACTCCAACACTTTTTGAAATGTTCAGGATGGAATATGAACAGATCTCAAAGTGCATGGTCTATAGCTGTGGCGAGATTGGACCAATATCTGAGTACCAGGTAACTGTCAAAGACAGGCCTCGGGGTCAATTTGTTAGATTTGATTCAACAGAATGTATGGTTGTTTGTAGTTGTAAGAAGTTTGAATTCATGGGTCTTCTTTGTTGCCATGTATTGAAAATTCTTGATCTCAGAAATATTAAAGAACTTCCACCACACTATATCCTGAAAAGATGGAGAAAAGACGCTCAGAGTGAATCTCCAGAGAACTATGGTTTTGCCGCCATAGATGAAGATCCCAAGTTTTCATTGTCAAAACGGTACAACACATTATACCGGAATTTGTATAAAATTGCAGCAAAAGCTTCAGAAAGCGTTGAAGCTTATGCATTCCTGGAGGGCCAATATGAACAGCTTGTTGAACAAGTGGAGGTACTTTTGCAAGCAAAGTTGCATGATAAATCTTCCTTAAGTACTGTCCTGAAAGGCAATCAGCCAAATCTGCTTAATAGTGAGGTCAGCAGCATTGAACATCGCAGAGCAACTGGTAAGAAAATTAAAAATACAGAGGTGCGCCGTCAGCAACAAAGTCCTCTTGATCCGAACAAAAAGAAAAAGGGTAGACAAGGTTTGTTCATCACCTGCACTGCTCCTGTATTCGATTTTATATGATCAGTGCTTTATCTGATTAACCTGTTGCAGGTCTGCTGGAACTTGAGGAGATTGAAATTCCACTCAGGGTTGATCCTCCTGCAGTGTCAAATGATATCCAAAATCATTTAAGAACTCCAACAAACCAGTTTCTTGCACCAGGCCATATGATGCAGGTAAATTTGGTATCCTTTCTGCTTTTTCCCCCATATGTATCGAGGAACAGACGTGATGTATATTATACTTGTGCAAATATAGGCCCCTTATGTTGCACAGCAGTTTGGTCTTGGTTCTCTACAAGGATTCCCAGGCATGTCACCATTTGGGCAGGTAACTTGGAAAATCATGACTTGTTGAAGCAAAATAGAATTATATACTTTTTTCCCTCACGGGCTGCAACTTAACATGTCGTTAGATTCAAGAGCCAACACATCTTCAGCAGCCTCATTTACAACCACCACCCTTTCATAGTGGTCCTCCAATTACACAGGTAATTCCTGTTGGATACTACTCCATGTCTGTGAGAGTACTATAATTCTGCTAGTTAACATATTTCTCGGCATTGATAATGCCGCCGCACATTCCCCTTCAGAACAAGTTTGTATATAGGGAAACTTGCATTTCGATGTCACTTAAATCGCTGAGATCAGTAAAATGTCGCATGAACTTATTAAATACCAGTTGTAACTTGTAACAAGTGGATTGCGCTACTGGATTTTCTGACAAGTCAAATCTTTCTTACTGCAGGCTCCACCTCCGGACATTCAATCACTGCAGTTTCTTAGCAGCAATCCTCAACTGGGCCACCAGACCACGGATCAAGGCCAGTACACCATTCCAGTCTGGGATTTCCTCTGACGTACAATGTGTGATGCATGCGGGAAGTAGCGATGTAGTCATGTAGATGTAAATAAATTATGTAATGACCAATTATGTAGAAACACAGCCTTGCCCGGCAGGTTAATGTCAATGAAATCTTTAAGCATGGTACATTGGAATGAATTTTTGGAGTTGGACACAATTCAAACGCACTTGTCAAAGCCAACCAGGAATGGGGGGACTGTGGACCCAGGCATAGCAAGGATCCACTGGGCGTTGGCAAGATGGCATGGTTCGGCACGGCAACCTGTAGGAAAAGAAAAACTAAACTGAACTGGAATAAGGAATAGTTTCCGGTGTCAGCTGCAAAAACAAAATTCTCTAGTATCCTGAATGTTACGCGGAAGTGAAAGCAAGCTTCCGCTATGCTGAAATAGAGTAACTGGAGTACAATATGCATTCTATGTTTACAGGTTAATATCAATGTCTCAATTCAGCTTCCACTTGATGACAACAGAAAATTTGTGTACGGTGAACTGCCTTTATTTAGGTGTTCAGTATGGCTTCAAATTTCTGGTTTAGGTATTGCTGCCAGGTTGCACCGTAGCCTGATTGCTCACGCTGACGTCCATCTTCAGAACAAACATTCTTGGGTCCATCAAAGTTGAGGATATCAGTGTTACCATCTGTGCGCTTCCAGTTTGAAGGGAGCTTCGTGTACTTATCATTGAAGGCCAGAGTTACGGCCAACCTAATCTGGTCCCTATAAATAGAATTTTAACATGATCAAGACAGTTGTGAGTATATAGTGGCTAAACTTTGACATGATTTCAAAGATGTGCATTTGTGTTGGATATTCGTATTACACCTGAAATAGAAATCATGAGTTTAACTTACCTTTGATTGGCTAAATTAATGGCATTAACCCACCACATGATGGAAGCAACCAGGTTTTTCTCCAGCTTACGAGGCTCTATCAAGAGCACATCAAAATCAAGTAGGCATGCATCCTTGTTATAAGGTTCTTTTGGCACCCAACTTTGTGCAGCTCCTGCTCTTTGTATGGCACTAAGAACATCCATACTGATATAATCATTGAGACGTTTGCTGCAATCTACGCCAGCACCGATGGCATAACTGCCTAAGTCCATGCGACCAAGATCTTCTACTTTACCCTGTGCACGGGAAAAATCAACATTTCACAGCAGATAATCCAAAAGTGTTGATAAAATGCTTAGTTTTGCACACTTTTTCACTTCCAAGTTCTCACATGTCGTTGGAGTTTTGCTTGAGTGCATGAATTGAAGGTTTTCAACAGCTTCGCTTATTGCTTAAAAGCTATGATTGAAAATGTTTGATCATTTGACAGTACCACTCATGCCAGTGAGAACCATTATTTGCCAGAAACTCTTGATTATGCATCTCAGTAGTTTCTTTTAAAATCTGGAGTTACTGTTCATATCCGTGGGTGCTTTGTTTGAAAGAGAAAGGTGGAGACCAAAAGATTTCAGTGATAGGTTTGAGTAAATAGATAGAGTGGATGCCTGGTACCTTTATGATGGAGTCTGCAGCGATATAAACATATCTCTTTTTGGACAACTGAGATTTTGCAATAAGAAAGGGTGACAATTCCATGTGGAATAACCAAAGAAAGTTTCCTTCTGGAGTGGCAACATTTAGCTTGTGCTTGATTTGCTTCTGACTGCAAGGGGCACAAATATGAGAATGGCCACAATGACAAGATACAAAGGTCATGCTAATTTGTGTGCTCACCTAGTAACAGTGAGATCTGAATCAGGTAGCAAGACTTTTAGCTTGTGGTAGGACGATTTATCGTTGCCTCCTTCAGGTATTAAGAAATGGAAAGATATATTTTGTGGATCACTGCCAAACAAAGAGGGAAAAAAGTTATGTTGGTGACATAATTTATTCATCGAATTTTAGTTCTATATCATTACTGGCACAACATAGATGAAAAACTATCCAACATGACATGGAAAGTTGAAATAGGCATGCAGAAAAAAAATATTATTATCTCTGTCATGAGCATACTTCAGATGTCCATGAATTCAAGCAGCACAACCATGCCGAAGCCCGACGGCCACACCACAATGGCATAGGAAGGAGATAGGAATTAGGAACTCTTGATCTAGTTCTTTTTTAACCAAAAGAGATATAATCCTATCCTTGTGTCGATGGGGTGATTTGACTCTTGAGAGACCAATCTCTAGAATCAAGGAACCAACTCAATCTAATCTTATTTATGAATATCATATCCAATCCTAGGGCAACCATGAACACCAGAAGCGCATGAACAGACCATGGCATTGCTAGTAGTTTGCAAATAACTATGCTGCTGTGCATGGCCCAGGGCTGCTCCATCTCATTGGCCCTAGTGGCCTGCACATGATAACCTATAAGCTGATTGTACATTAACTGATAAGATTTTATATAATCAAATCTTATTGTCCTAAGATCACATTTCTTACTGAAACACACAAGATACAGAACCTGGAGCTGGACAGAGTGGAATTTGTCAGCACAGCGAGAGTGCGAAGATCCAGACAGCTTATCCAAGAGAAGACATCTACACTTCCAACATAATTTAAAGAACCCTGCAGGAGAATCAGTAGTTCGTTAAGAAATTTGTTTTTCTAATGTCAATTCAAGCTCTTTTTCAAAAGCCCATATCAACCCAGACTAACATGCATGCTAAACACCAAGTGAAATTCAGTCACCGCAAAGCCATGCCATGTAGAAAAGAGAACCCAATACAGAATTGCAATTGCAGCCTAACACTACAACATTCATGATTGTAGACGCTCAATGATCCAATACTAACAACAAAGTTGCAATTTTATTTCCAGATGTCATCTTCAGTGTCCAAACTTTGAGAACATGCAATTAAATTTCACTTACAACTATTTTCACATAAGCACCACAGAGAGCTACAGCTTTTGGAAACATGACACAAAACTAATACGGAGTACTTTCCTGACATTGTGGGCTGTAGAACTAAACTTTTCAATTTTGCCTGAAAAGCTCTAGTTTTGCAACAGATTGTTCTAGTTTTGCAGCAAACAATGTTATATGTGTCCAAAAGGTTGTAGTTCTACAGTAATTGTGCTAATTTTTTGCTGTTTTTCCAAATTTACATAGACAAAAAAAAAACTTTCATTTTTGCAGCAAAGCAAATCGTGGAATGGAAATCCTAGCATTCTGGTGAACAAATATCTAATTAATCTACACTGCACATAGCTTCGGCGATTCCTAGTTCAAGAAAGCAAAGCACTCGCACAGAGAGTGAGACAAAGCGTGGCGCGCGGTACCGTACCGTTGGATTTCGCGAGCCGTCAATGCGAATCCAGTTGCGCTGGGGGTCGTTGGGGTCCCGGAGGTGCGTGGCCGGGAGAAACTGGAGGCACCCGAGTGCGACGATGGCGACGATGGCCAGCTTCTGCATCCAGGGCCACGGCCGCGGCGGCGGGTCGACGTCCGGGTGGATGGGACGCTGCCCGCGCGGAGGCGGCTCCTGTGGCCCCCCTCCGCTCCTCGAGGCGGCCGCGGCGCGGCGCTGGAGGCCACCGCCTCCGGCGAGCGGCTCCTGTGCGGGGTCCATGGTAGCGAGGAATGGCTCGAAGAAGTCGTCGCCGTCGACGTGGGTTTCTAAGCGATGCGGGGTTTTGGGCTTGGAGTTCCGTGGCACGGCCGGCGCGGCATTTTTTCTCTCTCTGGACTTTGGGATTGGGCCGTGAGGGCCCACCGGGCATAAGGATTAACGAGTGCTGATCTGGCAAAAGAGAACAAGCAACGCTGCAACAGCCCCAACCCATTCGGCGTTTGCCTAGGCCATAGTCATATAGACTCATGCTCCCTCTTAAGGATGAAAACGAAACGAAAATATCTCGAACCGAACCGCATCGTTTTTTATATTTAATCCGATCGAATGTATTTTCTTGTCCGACTTTACCGTTTTCGTTTTTCGCATTTGAGATGTTTACGTATTTCAAATGTAAAAGTAGCACATTTTTCGACCGTTTTCTACTTTTCTACTTTTAATTTGAAATATTCGAATTCAAAATTCGGTTTAAACCGAATTTGACCAACATGCAGTCATATAGCCCAATTACTGTGTGCCACCAAAACGTAAAGCCGAACCGCATCGTTTTTTTATATTTAATCCGATCGAATCCGCATTTTCCCTCGTTTCGTTTCGCATTTGAGATGTTTTCATTTCAAATGTAAAAAAAGGTTTACACATTTTTCAACTGCTTTTCTACTTTTCTACTTTTAATTTGAAATATTCGAATTCAAAATTGGTTTAAACCGAATTTGACCAAGCAGTCATATAGCCCAATTACCGCTCACCACGCAGCTTGATTACGTTTCTTTCTCTGGTGGCTAATGCACTCTCTTATAGACAATTCAAACTATCATCTCTTATTATGTATTTGTCGTGTACACTTGTTTAATGCTATGCACTTGAACTAGATCATGCACTTGTTAGTTGTGAACTTGTTATGTATTTGGTCGTGCACTTGTTTAATGCTATGCTTTCGTAGGTCGGTATTTCGTATTGAATTTTCGCATATCGACTGTGGTTCGATATAAGCTTTCGAATTGGTTCGCTTTCGAAATTCTAGATATTCCGTAGAGTTCGGCTTGTCCGCCGCTTTCGCTTCAGATTTCAAATGTAAAAGTAGAAAACGGTTGAGGAGTTTTTCAACCGAGTTCGACCGTTTTCATCCTTACCTCTAACCCAAAAGGGCGTAGCCAGAGTCCCGACGTCCGGACGCAGCCGCCCCCATCCGCCCTCGTCAGGGCCACCTCTGTAGTTTTAGAGGCCCTTGGACAAGCACTATCATAAGGTCCTTGAAACTAAGCTTTTAATATAACAATTAAAATATATATAGTATAAAAAATTAATTTGCAAGTATGTTTAGTTCATAAAAGATAACAATAGTATAACTAAAGAACTAAAAGAACAATAAAATAACTATTATGATTCTTTTCAATAAAACAACAATACATCAGTGCTTCGTAAAAAAACCATTCTCGAGTATTTCTCGTTGAAAAATCTTCAAGAACTATATCGACTAGAAATAGGAAAATACGCTGACCTTCAAAGCTCTCATAGACTACCATGCTAAATGTATAAGCTATATATCTACATACATACTCCATATATACTCATGGGCCCCCTAGCGGCTTGGGCCCCCGTTGGTCGCACCTCCTGCCCTTCCCATAGATACGGCCCTAGCCTTCTCCCCGCCCCACGAGTGCCCTCCGCTCCGTCTCTGCGCTCGCTGGTTCTTCCCGTGACCCCCTCCTCTCTCTCTCTCTCGACTCTCAAGAAGCGACACGGAGGATGAACACGCGTCCCAGGCGACCCAGACCTCTCAGCACCCTCCCTTCACATTCCCATTCCCAGCGCCCCCGCCTTCGTCCAGCTGGCCCCCAATATGCCGTCTCCCTGCCCCCAATGCCCCCATCCACTGGGCCCTAAGCGCACCTGCGTGCCTCTATCTACTGCCCTAGGCTCGCCCTCGGCCGAACAACATAAAACACTTGCAACATGAATACAACATAAGATTGAAAATAGACGAAACATTTAGAACATGCTCTTGCAACATGCGTGTGAAACACATGAAACATCCAAATTAAAACACTTGCAACATGAAACCACCTGCTGCAACATAAGACTGAAACAACTGAAACATTTAGAACATATTGTTGCAACATATGCAACATCCAGATAAAAAACGATTGCAACATACGTCTGAAAACAGATAAAATATTTTGAACAAACACTTGCAACATGCCTCTGAAAAACACTTGCAACATATGCAACATGTGCAACAGCCCCCGATCTATTTTTGCAACATCAAGATAAAACAATTGCATCATACATCTGAAACGGCTGAAACACTTAAAACATACATATGCAATATAGGGCAGTGGAAGGTTGGGCCGGTCGATTCCAGCCATCGGGGTGGGAGCCAACGACGAGCCACGGCGTGCGAGCACCACCAGCACCGCCCATGCTCGTAGGTGCCCATGGCTTGGCCAGGGAAGACCTGAGGCACCACGGGGCATGTGCCCAGCAGACCATGGCGGTGTCGGTGGCCTTGTGGCGACAAGCCCGATGGAGCAAGCGGCATAGGTGATCGGGACGGCGCAGGGCGCGGGCAAGCGAGCGCAATGGCGTGGGTGGGGAAGGAGCGAACGAATGAGAATGAGCACGCCAGCTGCTGCGCCTGGCGTCGGGCAGATGATTCGTTTTTCTGTTTCTAAGAGAGATGAGGCCCGCTTGAGCCACGTCTGTACGAGAGTCACGACGGATGCATGTGGCATATCATTATCGATCTCAAAAAAAAGATACAATCATGGGTTACATATCAGCTGAAGTGGTTCACGTTTGTTCAAGTTTCTAATAAATAGTATTTGACATTTATGGCTCCAAATCAATTTATTATAAAAAATCATACATTTCTACATCCTCTATCCCAAATTATAAGACGTTTTGGTATTTCTATATTCATAACTTTTACTATGTATCTAGACATAACATATATTTAGATGCATAGCAAAAGTTATGAATCTAAAAAAACAAAACGTCTTAAAATTTAGAACTGAGTGAGTAAATAATATAATAGTATTTATTTGATATCATAAATAGTCTTGGCACCCTCTATTGTGTGCCTGTGGTGCTGCTGTGCTTCGTGACTGTTTTCGGCCGTAAGGCCACCTTCTCGATTAATTGAATGGCAGCTCCTGCCTTATTTTTTTTAAAAAAAAGATAACATAAATACTGATATTTTTATCTATAATTGGTCAAACTTTATACTAAAACATGACTTAAGTACAAGAATTGCATTCTTTTTTGGACGGATGAAATACAAACTTTGAAGTGAAATCTTTTGCTTCGGTCAAGCCAAAGTATATGAGGCACAATACTCACAATTGTTTGGCTACAAGGTTGGCTCATTCCCTTTTCGTTATTTAGGAATCACTATGCACTTCAGAAAGTTAAATAATAAAGAGTGGAAAGAGATTCAAAATAGAATCGAAAAAAAAGGCTTCCACTTGATGACAACGGAAATTTTGTGTACGAAATTTTGTGTACGGTGAATTTAGGCGTTCAGTATGGCTTCAGATTTCTGATGACGGTATTGCTGCCAGGTTGCACCGTAGCCTGATTGCTCACGCTGACGTCCATCTTCAGAACAAACATTCTTGGTCCATCAAAGTTGAGGATATCAGTGTTACCATCTGTGCGCTTCCAGTTTGAAGGCAGCTTCATGTACTTATCATAGAAGGCCAGAGTTACGGCCAACCTAATCTGGTCCCTATAAATAGAACTTTAACATGATCAAGACAGTTGTGAGTATATAGTGGCTAAACTTTGAAATGATTTCAAAGATGTGCATCTGTTTTGGATATTAGCGTATTACACGTGAAATACAAATCATGAGTTTAACTTACCTTTGATTGGCTAAATTAATGACATTAGTCCACCACATGATGGGAACAAGCAGGTTTTTCTCCAGCTTGCGAGGCTCTATCAAGAGCACATCAAAATCAAGTAGGCATGCATCCTTGTTATAAGGTTCTTTAGACACCCAGCTTTGTGCAGCTCCTGCTCTTTGTATGGCACCAAGAACATCCATACTGATATAATCATTGAGACGCTTGCTGCAATCTTCAACAGCGCCAATGGCATAGCTGCCTAAATCCATGCGAGCAAGATCTTCGACTTTACCCTGTGGGCAGGGAAAACCAACGTTTCACAACAGGTGATAAAATGCTTAGTTTTGCACACTTTTTCTACACGTCCAAGTCCCAACATATTGTTGGAGTTTTGCTGTCGAGTACATGAATTGGATATCAATACCTTGATTCTCTAAAGCTTATCCCAAGTTATGTCTAAAGGACTTCTGTCGCAATGAAGATTTTCAACAGCTTCACTTATTGTTTTAAAGCTATGATTGAAAATGTTTGATCATCTGACAGTACCACTCATGCCAGTGAACCATTTTTTTGGCACAAACTCTTGATTATGCATCTCAGTAATTTCCTTTAAATTACCTGGAGTTAGTGTTCACATGCAGGGGTGCTTTGTTTGAAAGAGAAAGGTGGAGACCAAAAGAGTTCAGTGATAGGTTTGAGTAAATAGATCGAGTGGATGTCTGGTACCTTTATGATGGAGTCTGCAGCGATATAAACATATCTCTTTTTGGACAACTGAGATCTTGCGATAAGAAAGGGTGACAATTCCGTGTGGAATGACCAAAGAAAGTTTCCTTCTGGAGTGGCCACATTTAGCTTGTCCTTGATTTGCTTCTGACTGCAAGGGGCACAAATATGACAATGGCCACAGTGACAAGATACAAGGGTCATGCTAATTTGTGTGCTCACCTAGTAACAGTGAGATCTGAATCAGGTAGCAAGACTTTTAGCTTGTGGTAGGACAACTTAACGTTGCCTCCTTTAGGTATTAAGAAATGGAAAGATACATTCTGTGGATCACTGCCAAACAAAGAGGAAAAAAAGTTATGCTTGTGACATAATTTATTCATCGAAATTTACTTTTATTTCATTACTGGTGCAACATAGATGAAAAACTATCCAACATAACATGGGAAGTTGAAATAGCCATGCAGAAAAAAAATATATTATGATCTCTGTCATGAGCATACTTCAGATGCCCATGAACTCAAGCAGCACAACCATGCCGAAGCCCGACGGCCACACCACAAGGGCATAGGAAGGAGATAGGAATTAGGAACTCTTGATCTAGTTCTTTTTTAACCAAAAGAGATATAATCCTATCCTTATGTCGATGGGGTGATTTGACTCTTGAGAGACCAATCTCTAGAATCAAGGAACCAACTCAATCTAATCTTATTTATGAATAATATCATATCTAATCCTAGGGCAACCATGAACAGCAGAAGTACGTGAACAGACCATGGCACTGCTAGTAATTTGCAAATAACTATGCTGCTGTGCATTGCCCACGGCTGCTCCATCTCATGGGCCCTAGTGGCCTGCACATGATAACCTATAAGCTGATTGTACATTAACTGATAAGATTTTATATAATCAAATCTGATTGTACTAAGATCATATTTCTAATAATTACTGAAATACACAAGATACAGAACCTTGAGCTGGACAGAGTGGAGTTTGCCAGCGCAGCGAGAGTGCGAAGATCCAGACAGCTTATCCAAGAGAAGACATCTACACTTCCAACATCATTTAAAGAACCCTGCAGCAGAATCAGCAGTTTATTAAGAAGTTTGTTTTTCCTAATGTCAATTCAAGCTCTTTTTCAAAAGTCCATATCAGCACATACTAACACGCAAGCTAAACACCAAGTGAAATTACAGTCAGCGCAAAGTCATGCCATGTAGAAAACAGTCAGCCTAATAAAGAGTTGCAGCCTAACACCACAACATCATGATTGTAGACCTTGCATGATCCAATACTAATAACGGAATCGCTATTTTATTTCCAGATGTCATCTACTCATCTCCAGTGTCCAAAGTTTGAGAACATGCAAGTAAATTTCACTTACAACTATTTTCACATAAGCACCACAGAACTACAGCTTTTGGAAACATGACACAAAACTAATACTTTCCTACATTGTGCGCTGTAGAACTACAATTTTGCCTGAAAAACTATAGTTTTGCGAGAACAGATAGTTCTAGTTTTGCAGCAAACAATGTCATGTTTCCAAAAGGTGGAATTCTATAGTAGTTGTGTCAAATTTTGTAAGTTTTTCAAATTTACATAGACAAAAACAACTTTTATTTTTGGCAAAATTGTGTTCTTGCCCCTGTCTAGCAGTCCAATTGTGATTTTGCCCTTGTTTTTTCAACTTTGTGATTTTGTCCCTGTTATTTTAAAACGAACCATCCTTTGCCCCTGGTTTGGATGTCTGTTAGATGGACATGGAATAAATGAATTAAAAAAATTAAAATCCCTGCAAACAGAGGCAAAAAGACCATGTTGCCCCTCATCTTATCTTCAACCTCCTGCTCGTCCAGCCACTCCAGCCACAGGCAAACCGCACGGGTCGGGGATAGATCGAGTGGGGGTGCACGCTTCTCCTCCGGAGTGGTCGGTGTCAGCTTAGCAAGCATCAGCGGGCGTCGGCAGTCCAGTCCATGGAAGCGCGTTGTCAGCGGGGACGGTGGGCGCTGGCTGGGTATGGCGCGCCCGACCACGGCGCGCCGCATATGCAGCGGCGATGGTGCCCGGCCGCGACGCTTCGGGTCAAACGCGGGCGGCGGCGCGCTTGGCATGGGGCGCTGGCCTTCGCGAGCCCAACACGCTGCTGGGCGGCGGCGGCGCTACCTGGTCATGGGCGCATGATGCTTGTAGGGCTGCGACATCCGCTCTTAAGCCTGTGGTATGCTGCAGACAACAGGCAATGCGCCCGCCGCGATGCTTGGGTCAAAGCGTGGAAGGTGGCGGCGGTACTGGCCATGGGCACAAAGCTTCGCGAGGGCGCGGTGCCCGTCCATGGCTTGTGCGTGAAGGGCCAGTAGGCGTCGGCGGGTGCCGGGCGGCTCGGTGCAAGGCACGCAAGACGGCAGCCGAACACGGGGTGTGGGTCATCTCTAGGAACGCAAGGGGATATATAGCCTCGGTGGGTGGGTTGGAAACAGACTGGAGACTGGAGCGAGCGCGGCGTAGGAGATGCTCTTTTCTGGGGACTGCCATGCCGTAGGCCGTATAGCCATACCGCTATACCATGTCTGCGTGTGCGGTGTGCAAATGGTTTGCGCCTTCGCAGCCGTGTTTTGGGCTTGTTTTCGAGACTTTTCCCTGTGTGCCATTATAAAAGATCGTAATCCCCTGTGTGCCTCTGGAAAAATTCAGCGGTCTTCAGCGCCACTACTCCAACTTTTTCGGGTCCTCCATGCCACTTCCGTCAATTCAGGCTCTAACGCCGTCAAACTGCAGGTGTGAAAAGACGAAAATGCCCTTAAGTTCAAATATGTTATTAATTTTTTTTGAGCACCTTAACGACTTCAAATGAAAAAACTCAAAACTAGAAAGTTGTAGATCTCGTCGAGATCTATAATTTTCATATAAAAATTATTTTCATTTAATTTCGCAAAAAAAAATTATTTGATATGATTAATATATCTTAGAAAAATCATCATATTTTTTTTTGCTTTTTTTTTGGCTTGGGAGTTCCGTGGCACGGCCGGCGCGGCATTTTTTTTCCTTTTTCTGGACTTTGGGATCGGGCGTGAGGGCCTACCTGGCATAAGGATCAACGAGTGCTGATCTGGCAGAAAAGAAGAAGCAACAGCCCATTCGGCGTTTGCATATATAGGCCCATATTATAGACTCATATACGAACTTGCTAAATTCTGATCTTCTTTTAAAAAAACATTGCGCCTTAGCGGCTTAAAGTTAAAGCAAACGGATGTTGCTAAAAAAAAAGTTAAAGCAAACGGACCCCTAATTTGTCCCATGCATATATCGACATTCCCTGATCCTACTATTTTAAGACTCCGGACGTCTCGCTCTACTCACTGTCATATGTGTCGCTCACCTATCAACTCCCGTCCGTCTAGCTCCGCTCCCACCCTTACCCCTTCCATGTTCCTCATCCCTTGCTGCAGCGCACCAACGCCCGACGTCCCCCCCCCCACCGGGAGCCCCCAACGACATTAGATCCGGCCCTCTCCCCCATCTCGGGGCGAGATCCATGGAGTAGGAGCGGTGCCCTCTCTCACCCCAGTGGCCATATGGCTCTTCTCGTCCCCCATCCCCCACCGTCGCCGCCGAGCCAAGCCCAGTGCTTGGTGGCGGTGAGGCTCGTGCGCCGCCGCTTGTCGCCGGCTCCGACGCCGATGAAATTGACCGGGCTAGGCTTCCCCTCCACTATGCTGCAAATATATGTTTCAGTCGTTTGAAAGGTATGCTGCAGTTATTTCTTATGGATGTTGCAAAAGTAGATCGGGGTAGTTGCACATATTGCATATGTTGCGTGTTTTGAAGCATGTTGCAAGCATTTATTCAAAATGTTTCATCTATTTTCAGACGTATGTTACAATCGTTTTTTATCTGGATGTTGCATATGTTTTCACACATATGTTGCAACAGTATGTTCCAAATGTTTTAGCTGTTTTAGTATTATGTTGCAGTAAGTGTTTCTTCATGTTGCACTTATTTTATCTATATGTTGCATATGTTTCACACACATGTTGCAAGCGTATGTTCCAAATGTTTTATCTGTTTCAAATATATGTTGCATATGTTTCACACACATGTTGCAAGCGTATGTCACAAATATTTCATCTGTTTCAAATGTATGTTTGTATTCGAGTGTTTCATGTTGCAAGTGCGGACCACCGGCGTTAGTGTCCATGAGGGGGGGCAGGGCCAAGCCACGGCCACCGACACGTGGAGGAGGCGCAAGCCGCCGACGACGTTGTGCGGAGGAGGCACAGGCTGCGCGGTGCTGTTGTGGAAGAGGCGGGGGTGAGTCTTCTGGGCGGCCTGGAAGAGACGGCGTCGTGCCGGTGTGGAAGTGGCGGGGGCGAGTCATCCGAGCAGCGTGGGCAGCGAATCTGAAAAGGACGGTTAGGATGCGAGCGCGGGAAACAGAGCTGGCGCGGGTGGCGCGCGAATCCGAGCTTACGGGGCGGAGCAGCCACGTGTGTCCAGACGTTCGGGCGCTAGTGCTGCCAATCAACATTAGATTGCACTATCTTGAACCATAACTTTGCTATTAGGTTCATTCGACAACTTAACATAATGGATTACACTTGGGAACGAAAGTGATCAATTTGTCACTCAATTGATCAAGTTTCTTACATTGATGGAACTTACCTATCCAAAATTTGAGGCTTGACACATCATAGCTGCATACCGTTGCCAATTAATCCATTAGCCCCAAAATATAAGACATAATTTGACTTGGTATAGTCTTTAAAATTACAATCCGATTACTAATTCCTCTAATAATATACATTTGTGACAGCAAAAGTTTAAACATTAGAGAGTATTTCTAAATACAAATACAGTGCAACTACATTTGTAGCGCAAACTTTTTCTAGAATTACTCTAGTTGTTGATCTTAAGAAAAATATTTTCTTTAGTGAGATTGAATATTTATATGCAAAAAGAAGCGCTCTAAAAACACCTTTTCCCCATATTTCCAAATTATTACAAATATCAATTAACTGAGTGTTTGAATTCTTGGAGTTATCGTGTCATTAGCCTAGGGTTTACTCTTTTAATCGTGTGTATTCTTTGTGGAGCAGTATGGGCTAATAAGGCATGTGGATCCCGACCCATTGGAACTGGGATCCTAAGGAACGAAGCTAAAATTTTTAAAATACATGCATGCCTTATATTTTTGAAATGTTGGTAGTACAATTTGATCTTGTTTGGCACAACGGCCCTTGCTACAGTACTCTAAAGAAGAACAAACCTTTATTGGCTTCAGATTTATTCAGAAAAAAGAGATAAAACGGTTCCATCCTATAGGGTAACTATGGTGCACAGAGGAGTTAGAGTCGGCTGGAGCTCCTCCACAGGCATAGAAGCGAGTGAGCGTTTTTTTATAAAATATGCATATATGTAATATGTTTTGAAAAAATACCCATCAATTTTGAATTCAAGAATATATCAATTACATGACTTAACAATAGTTGAAAATAAAATTAGTTATGGTAAAATGATGTCCACAATGTTACAATCATTACAATAGAGCCGATACAAATCGAATTTAGGAGATACATTTAAAGAAATAGTAATTCAATATCCGACAGTTTTTCAATTCCAATATCAATGTCCCCGTAAAACTATCATAGTAATAGTTACTATGCCTTTTTTTCAGCAGTCTCCCAATGCCTTTTTTTTTTTTTTCTGTGGCCACCGATATTTCTTTCATCTCCACTAAAATAAAGAAAGAGTTGTATCCCCCAGTAGTATAGGGCTCGTCCCAACCAATACTATTCAGACATTTTTTCCCCACACACTTTGTGTAACCCATCTCTCATATGAGTATTAGAGGAGATATATCAGGGCATTGTTGCAGCAACTCTTATAATATTCAAAAAATAATGTTGAACTACCTCAATACCTACATATAAGAGAGATTATTTGAAGACCGATGGAAATTCTCTTAGAAGAGAGGTACGGTGTGCAAAGGTGAAGCCTCTTCAAAGGGTCAAGAGATGGCAAAATAACAATAGGGCATGGTAGGCTAGTAGAGCTCGTTTGGGAGGATTCTCTTAGGACGTGATTGGTTTAGTGATCAAGGGAGCCTAGCTTGTTCCTATGAACCAGGCTAAGGCGGGACATGCTTGTTATATGTACCATCCTCTTGTTTGGTTGACTAAACGAGTCATCAGTTGTTTGGTTGCCCGTTCGTTGTCGCTCTGCCATGCCACGAGGTGTGCGCTCTCGCGCTCGTGGGAGGTAGGCTCCAAAGAAACAAAAAAAAGATATTTCTTTCCTGCGAACCAGTCTTGGTGGGGCAGCTTGCATGTCACCAGCCAAGTTCTATAGCACTCGCCTAGCTATAGTAATAGGAGAAGTTAAAGGTTGAAGAGTCATAAAAAGTGACTTTATGATCTTATATCACGAGTGAGTAATAAATCTCGTTGTTAGTAATAAGAAAGAAGATGACCGGTTTGATTTTTTAATGCACTCTTTTTTACGTCGTTTTGTGTGTTGTTGTTTCTCTTTTGTACTAGCCTTTATTTTTCCAAGACGTATCAGATGTGAGGCATTTTTTTTAGTGTCTTTATGAAATTTTAGTAGAGGCTTTTACAAATGTGCCATTAAAAAGTTTGTAATTACACACAAGCTATTAAAAAAATTGACCGCACACAGGTGCCACTGCTTTAAACCTCTTTGCCTTACAAGCCATTCCGTTTGTGTTTCGTTTGTTTTTCGTCGTTTGGTGTGGGACCGGCCAGTGAAATTGTCCATATTACCCTTGGTGGTCCCACACCGAACAACGAAGAACCCTGGGGGAGAGAGAGCGCGGGGACGGCTCCGGCTCACGGCGACAGCGGCGCGCGGCGGACTAGGAGTGTTGGCGCCGGATTTGACAGCGAGGCCGCCGGGGCACCTCCTTGCTCTCCCCAGGCGCGCGGCCTCCTCCCTCCCGGCGGCGCACACGGCGGCCCTTGGAGGCGACGCGGACGACCTCCTAGAGCCACCCGCCGGCCTCGCGCCTGGATCGCGTGCCCCCGTCCTTTGATGCGCGCCGCATGCCCCTCCTAGAGCACCTGTATTGCCGGATCGCCGACGAGGCACGGCGCCCGCC